TAACTTTGAGTAAGGCTAGCTCTATATTTTACCAGTAAATGTGAAGATTATCAATCAAATAATATGAAATTTCTGTCTTAAAGGTAAGCAGTTTCTTCTTAGATTATTTTTGTAAAGGGTCCATTAAACATTTGATACTAAATACGTATTTTATATATATTGCTTAAAATCAGCATTTCTACTTTTTGCATCAGTAAATTAATAAGCAGCAATGATTTATTGAGTTCCAATTACGTATATAAATGTGTGTGCTTGGATGATTATAGTATTGATTCTCAACCCTTCTTGACCATTAGAATCGGCCAAGCATCTCAAAAAACTACTATTGCTCTGCCTTGACTTCAGACTAATTTAAGTAGAAGGTGCAGAACATGGACTATAGATACTCATGGATTACCGATTTGGTTCTTCTCTTGGGTATAGTGAATTTGGCATTGATTCTTAATGCTTGTGCAGGGGAAAAAGTAGTCTTAGGGTCACAGTTTGAATCTCTATATTCTTAAGCTTTTTTTCTAAATCTGGGTCTGTTTTAAGATGTTTGAAGTATTTTTCTTATTGCTCATGTGACCATGTATTTAATTTCTCTACAGGAGTCAATATTTGTTAACCAGTATTTATTAATAAGACTTTTATAAGTGTTTTCATTTTCTGTGCCATAATTCTATTTCACTTAATTTTTATGGTAAACATAGAAAGTCAGTGACATCATTCTCTCTAATAAGGAAAATAAGCACAGAGAAGTTGACATTTTATTTCATATGTTGAATAATTTCTGCTGTTGAGTGGTTTATGTTCCATGAACAGTGTAAGGTGCTCTGCACGTTGTCACAGGTGAGCTCCCATTACCATCCGTACCTCTGTTTCCTAGAGAGTCATCTGGGTAACACTCATCTTGCCACGTGCTTTATGACAAGGGTACTGCAATCTAACAGCTTGAGAGATGCTGAATAGGTTTCCATTATGTTGAAAATTCTCCATCCATGACAACACATTAAACACACTGAAATATCATGAAGTGAAGGAATGTTGTGTGTGATGCTCTCTGGGCTATTTAACCATAAAAACCTTATTGGGAAACAGTTGCCAGTGGCACCCATTTTGAAATATACTCTGTTAAAGCAACCTTGTGTTCTAGAAATGATGTACAAGTGCTATATGTTAGAAACTAAGACTAGGAAATAACTCATAACTCACCTATAGTGATACTATATGTGGCATTTGACTAATTTATAAAATTCTCTTTTAATTTTAATGTCATGACTTAAGGCTATAGATTCTAATATCTATTTTTCCTATTTTTCTTTTAGTAAAGCTGAATTAAAATTTTTGAAAGGATCAACTGAATGTATGTACAAATATTTTAAAAACTAAAATACTTAATAAATATCAGAATTAGGTAGTGTACAGTCAAAACAAGTACCTGGATATTTTATTATTTATTTATTTATTTATTATTTATTTACTGATTTTTGAGTCAGGGTCTCCTGTAGCCAAGTCTGGCCTTTAGTTCATGATGTAGCTGAGGGTGACCTTGAATTTCTGAATCTTCTGCCTCTACCTCTGAGTCCTGGGATTACAGGCATGGGACACCATATTTGTTTTAATGCAGTGTTTAGGATTAAACCCAGGGCTTAGTGCATGATATGCATGATAGATAAGCACTCTACCAAAAACTAAGCAACATTTCCAGTCCTCAAAATACCATTTTTTGAAGGGAATTATTTCTTTATTCATCTTTGAATCAATCGTTAAAGGTTGGGTAAGCTTTATTAGTTATCACCAGTATTGGTTTTCTACATATCATTGATCACTCATGAGTTATTGCAGTGATCTTGGTTTATTTGGCAGGTTTTAAAAATAAACAAGTAGTTTGTGGATTCTGTATGGCGAAGCAATAACACATGAAATTAAGAGCAGTGTGGCATTTATTCCCATATCTGATTCTATTGATGATGAAAATGCTAATTTTGACCTGTGGCAAACAAATGTTGTTTCTATGTTAATAATAGTAAATAAATAGTATGATGTTTTAGATTTTTTTTTCTTAAGAGTTCATTTGTTTAAAGAACAAGGCTGAGAAATAAGCAGTGCAAGAGTCAACTTTTCTGATCATGCTTTACCGAGGAAATATAAAGTTGATTAGAAAGAGTTGTGATTAAAAGCCGTATTCCATTTAAAGCTAAGCAAGGAGAAGGCATGCAATAGGACTGCACAGATGGAAAACCTCCACTTCTGAGGAATGTGTTCTAGGGGATCACTTGATGTGTCAAGAGGTAATCCCCTGCAAGAAAGAATGTCCAAATGATCCCATATTGAGGGGAGAGGAAAAGCAACGTCAATTCCCCTACTTTCTGCAAAGGGGAAATGAGCTTAGCAGGACCAGCAGACATTCTCTGTCCAGCAAATTAAGCATGCCACTGGTTTAGTGTGGGAATTATTTATAGCACTTTGAATGCAGGTGGAAAATAAATCTATAGAGATCTGTAACTAATGCACATTGAATTCTTTCCTATAATTGTTTTCTCCCCCTTGTCCTTCTTTCTGTAACACTTGGAATGAATTAACAGGGAAAGGAGGGTGAACGTGGCAAGGCTCAGAAAAGACAGTTCTAAGAAAAACTACTCTATCCTAAGTGAGGGGGAAGGAAATGTACTAACGTCTTGTGGGAAGATGTTCATCAATGCAGAGCAAGTGTGGGTGAGTGGCGCATGGAAGATGCTATGAATTAGTTCGGAGTTTAGAACTCTGCTTGGCTTTTCAAAGAAATAAGTTGTGGCTTGAAAACAAATCGGTTCCTTAGTGCCTCTACACCTACAGACGCTTACTGCTGTTTGAGAACCTGGTTTTTCTGAGTCTCTGCCCAGGAATCATCCTGTGTCATGCATCTCTGAGTGATGTTCAGCTTAGGGAATGCCCTTCTGTATTGACACCAGAGGCTTGAGTTCAACCACAGTTTTTTCAGTGATGGTCTGAATTTTGAAGAGCCAAGAAACCTTGGAGCCTTTGTGTAAATAACACATTTTAAATCCTGGGACCAATTTGAATTAAAAATTAACATTGTTATAGAGTTGTGATTCCTTTTTTAGAAACATGTAGCTTTAGAAGGCTTGAAAAATGTGGATCTAAAGAACATATGGGGCACAGAAAGGGAAAGGGGGGAAAATCCACAACGATGAAAAGAAGTCCACAGAATTAGCAATCTTTATGCTTTGCCCTATTGTACATCTGACTTTCATTTTTCATGAGGAAAAAGTCACATTTTTAATGCATGAATAGAGAACAAATACGAAAATTTTGGACAGAATAGCTTCTTGTAATACATAAATCCAGGAGTCTATATTCCCTCAATACAACCCTGTTTCAATATACAGCAACATCTGTTTCCAGTGCCTTGAATTGCATGTCTAGAGTAGTGTATGTGCAGTTTGCTAATGAAAATGGAAAGGAAGCTATGGCTGCTTAGTAGACACAGGCACAAACAACACTGATGAGAAGAAGCAATCCTACTGGGCACACCTCAAAAAACAATTAGACAGTACGAACTGAGGACTGTGTCCGAATCCCTTTCTCCTCTCGTAATAATTTGCCACATTCTATATCTGTAGACAAAGTAGTTCCAGAAGTGGAGTTGGTTGGGTGAGTTTGTTTACACTGAAGTCCATAAAAGAAACAAAAAGCCTTGCATGCAAAAGAAATGGGAAAATATAGAAAGTGAATAAATAAAAAGCAAGAATGGATGTTAAAATGAAAAATTAAATCAAATGAAGCCAGCAGTTATGAACAGCACATTAAAGCACAATATATACAAGCTTTTATTTTCCAAATTAGTGGCATAAAACAAGACTCCTCAAGAACAAATTGAAAGTTAAAACAACACAGCTCAGTCCGCTCTTTCTATTAATTAGAGACTGTTTTCTATAATGAGGTCTAGGAAAGGGGTGTGAAATATTTTCACAATCACCTTTTGATTCTGGTGAAGGTTTTCATAATGAAACCAGACTGTAATAAGTTTGGGGTGCTTAAGATACAGCTTTCCCTTAACGGAAGTGGGTCTAGGATGAGATTATTAATCAAAACCAGCAACACAATTTACAGGACCCTGTATAAATTAAAAATGTGAAGCCCTTTGTTAAAAATTATTAAGAATTTCAAGAGCATAAGTTAGAGCATTAAACTGGCTCTTTTGCTAATAGTGAATAGCTTTGAGAGTCTAACAGTATCTTTAAATTAAATGAGTGGGCAAATAGACTAGAATTTCCAGGAGCTCTGTATTTTATTTATAATAGTAAGAAATTGTCTTAAATGGCAATCAACTGTGTTTCTTTCCCTCAGAAACATCTAAGTCGCTGGTGTGAACTCCTTTAAAGATAAAGTAGGCAAAAATGGTTTCTCTACTGAAATTATTCTGTAATTCTAAACGCAATTTTGAAAAATAAAGCCTCAAGTATACTTTATTGTCATTTTTGTGTTGTTTATCATATTCCTAGAAAAATTGTATGAATTGTCCCATGACATACCATACCTTGATAGAAGTAATTGCTCAATTTTAAAATGCTGTCTTTCTATTTTTATAGAAATCATTCTGCATGGGCGTATGTGCTCAAAATGCATACAGAAGGGCTGGGAAGAGTTCTCACAAATATCTTCTCTAACTTTGGATTTATCTTTCTCCCTTGTTCTTTCCATAGTTTCTATCTTAAGAGCAAATAACTCTTCAAAAAATTAACCGACTTTGGAATTTCTGTACTGTCATTCCAAATAGTGCTAATTGGATTTAGTGCACAGGCTCTTCCTTCCTCTCATTAATAAATGATGGAGCTGCAATGCCAGCAGCACCTGGCAGGGATTCAATAGCCCTTTGCTCTAACTTAGAAATGGCTCTTCTGGGCATCTAATTCAATAGACTGCTACAAAAAAGGGAAAACGTCCTTAAAGTTCTCCAACTTTAGACAGAAAATTCAAAGTAACAAACTGTACATTCTTAGAAATAGATGACTCACCTGTTCAATATCATTGTTCTTCCGTGATTTGTATATAAATTCTCCAATGGCTACAAATACAGAAAGGACCAGTCCAGCAGCCAGAACAATGAAGATGCCCCCGATGTTCTCCACTCCCAGAGCACTAGCTTCCTTACTGTCTTCTTCAGGACAGCCGTTTCCCCGCCACCATTTCTCTTTCATCATGTGCAGCTTTCCTTCTTCTTGTAGTTGAAGAATAGCAATGGTAATTTTATCCCGGTAAGGAGAGCCTGAAAGCGGGGTCATGTGGATACTGGTCACCAAAGAGAGGAAGAAGAGGTCAAGGCGTTTCACTACCTTAGTGGTAAGTACCTCAGAGGTGCTGTGAAACCCCGAGGCACAAATCTGTTACCGAAGGACAGGAAAGTCCAATTCTCTATTTTGAGGAGTCTAATTAGCTGACATGTTGACATTTACTGTGACTCAGGGTGTTTTCTTCCAAATAAGGAAAAGTTAAATAGAAATTCTGTGACATTTCGGCTTCTGGTGAGGTCTTCACCAGTCATTTCATGTGTTGAGGAATTTGTTGTTTAGAGTCTGCTTTTTCTGGTCTTGTGGCCATCTGCTATTATGAACGAGGCCATTTCCACTTCTTCATAGGAGAATACCTAGATATTTCCCTGTCTCCCTTAGAGTTGAATATAATCACATGCTTATTTCTGGTCAAAGGGAGCTAAAGCGATAGATGGCATTTCTGGCCTTTGTCCTAGACCTTCCCAATATGCTCTGCTCTCGCTCTTTCCCCAAATACACAGCAAGAGGGAAACATTTCCAAGTCACGAGCAATGGTGAAGCTACAACGTAAAAGGCACTCTGGGATTACTGCATGAGGGAGAGCCTCTGGCAGTCCATACCGGACTGTGAAAATCAAAGATGAAACGTTTACTGTGTGAAACACTGAAAAATTTCAGGTGTTGGCTACAGCTGTTTAGCCATACTGACTAATGTACCAATTAAGAAAAAGTAGATTTTTGAATAATTCAGAGGACCTAACAAATTCAGTTGCAAGAACTTGTTGGTAATATTTATGGTGTGCCTTCTAGTAATGCCATTGGACTTTTAATTATGTAGTGGTTAGAAAGTGGTAACATCTGTCTGTGGACATAATGTCTTTATTCTGAATTCTTACATTAATCAATCGCAACAAGATTCTTCTACTCAAGATTCCTCTCCCTGGATGGTAATAATGTTGGTTAGCATTTCTTATACTCAGTAGAAAACTAGCGCACCCTAGCTCTCGGCCTGAAAAAAATTAAACTCATTCTTAGTGGAAGCAAACTCAAAAATCAGGCATCTTAAAGACAGGGGAAAACCTTAGAAATAATAAAATCCTGACCATTTACTATACTGAAAGTATGATTGAAACTAATCCACCTTGGCAGGGCCAGGAATCAAACTCAGTTCCCCTCACCTCTCTGTTATTTCCATGAAAATGCTCCCAGCCACCCTCCTTTCCTCACATATAACTTATGTCCCGTGCCATAGCTTAAGTAAGCTGAGGTTCAGTGTTGATGGCATTTGCCTTTTCTTTCCTCCAAAAACTTAAAAAAAAATGTCAGCCCTCAAAATCAAAAGAACGAAGCTCCTAAGAGGGAGATGGAGACTTGTCAATTAACTGTATGATTTTGTGTGAGAAAACAGGCTTTGAAAATGGAATTAAGATACAGACTGTTTGCTTAAATGTTCCCACAAAAATGGGTAGAGACAAAATTAGAAGCATAAATATCCCCAGAGCACATGAGCAATTGAGAGACCCTGGAGTATTTTCCTTCAAGGTACATAGAAGTGTGGTGATGGGTGTGAGAATGATGCTCAGGGTCCTGGTTGCACAGTAGTCATGGTGAAATACACAGTGGGTACTCAATAAATGCTGACTGGCACACTCCTTCTGCCTTCAGGCTGCACAAGACCTAATGCATTTCAGACAGATGGAGAGCCAATCTCTGCTTAAAGTTGTCTCCAAGGAAGGTAATTTCCAGCCTCCTGGTAACCTGCTTAAATCTTAACTGCTCTCATTCTCTTGGAGTTTTATTTTAAATCCTTCAGGAGGCACATTTCCAGGGCCTTAGTCTTGATAGTCTCCAAGGAGAGTTTTCAATTTTGTGTTGTGACTGAGCCAACTTTGCCAATCTTCTATTATGGGGGGGGGGAGATTTTGGAGCCTCTGGGTCTCAGTCATGGCAAGAGCAGAGGTGTATGCAGAATTTTTCACATCTGCATATATTTTAGTGTCAGTGAATGTTGTTGCCTGACTGGTCTGAGTGACATCAGAAATGACATCACAAATCGTTTGAAAACAATCTAGATGTGTATCCACACATCTTTCTGAATAGCAACTGATCTTTCTTAAAGAGTCAATTCATCATAAAAGAAACATCTTTCAAATTTATCCAACAGCTGTATTCCCAGTGGACGAATTCTCTCTGAGGTCTGCCATCTGTTCCAATTATTCTTTCATTGTTTTTGGTTTAAAAGCATGACAGGTTTATCACCACTGTGAAAAATTCCTAGCATGTATTTCTTTTCATCTAGGAAGGGAGGAGGAAGACTCTTTGACATTAGAATTTGTGCATTTTATTTGTTTATTTATTATTTTATGTGTATACGTGTATTGCCTGCATGTAGGTAAGTGCACCCATGTCATGCAATGCCTGGGGAGGTCTGAAGAGGCTGTCAGATCCCCTGGGACTGGAGTACAGTTGTTAGCTGCCATGTGGGTGCTGGGCTTCAAACCCGGGTCTTCTGCAAGAACAACCAGTGTTCTTAACCGCTGAGCCATCTCTCCAACTCAAAATGACAACTCTTTTTCTTTTTTTTGTCTCTTTGAGACAGGGTCCCTGTGTAGCCCCAGCTGTCCTGGAACTCACTATGTAGACCAGGCACCAGGCTGGCCTCCAACTCACAGGGATCTGCCTGCAGAGTGCTGGGAGTAAAGGTTTGCGCCACCATGCCCGGCAACATTAGGATTTGTTATAGGTAAGGGTGGCAATAGATTTTGAGTGGATATGTTTAGATTACTCCATATGCTTCATGTCATAATATATAAATGCAGTATACTTATCAAAGAATCAGCCTCATTCCTGTGAGGATGGAAAGTAATTCCAAAAGTGCTGCATTCCTTTATCAGTGTTGCAGAAAACAGCAGCTCTCACGATTCCTGCCTCCCATCATCACTGTACTATCAGAAATTTTAGTTCTTAAGCATTCCATTCTTCAAAAGGACTATTAATTAAAATTCTCACGTGGAAGTGCAAATGTTCTCAGAAAGAGTGATACACGTTATTTTCTATCATTGCCACCAGACAGAAAATTTGGTGTCAAAGAGAGCTACTGAAAAGGGATGGATTGGGGTCATTGGGGAGAAGGGGGAGTGATAAAGGTTCAGGCTAAGATAATCTTGTTTAAAGACGGCTCTATTAAGAAACTGAAGCTGCTTCTCTAAGAAGGTGCACAGTGTCACAATCAACCCCAGTGTCTTGACTTTGCAAAGATTCAAGTAAGGTATCCATTCTTGATGTTCGTGTCTGACTTGTGCTCCATTAATGAAAACCAGCAGTGATAAGACATAAGATTGCATTTGTTCATTTTCTCATACGTATTTATAAAACGAGGTGACCAACCTGGGCTAGAAAGACAGGACCTTGTTTTTAGGGTTAAAAAGATAAACTGTCCATTTAGGTTTAATCTGGAAATCTTCGGAAATTATAGGAGAGCTTCTCACTTAGGGAAAACATAACAGCAGAACTGATATTTTCGTCAAGAAAAGCCATTGGCAAATGAAAAACTCCATCCATCTTACATAACACCTCTGAGCTGGGTGCCAGTGAAATCCTGTCTCATTACAATATCAGTGACCTATAATTCTTAGACAAAGGTGTTCCAAAGTAAGGGCCCACCCCCTTTCCTTTGTACGTAGTTTTAGGTCAGAATATGCCCATGTTGTTTAGAATGGGATTTTCACTTTTAATTTCTGTTTCTCTAACACACTGATCAGGAATGTCATGAAGGGATTTCTCTTTTTCCAGCAGTCAGAAATGTTTGGTTTTCCTTATCCAAGTTAGTTGTTTGCAGCCCTGCATGCAGGTTACGCTTTGGGGTTTTGCATTTGTGAATAGAAGACATGAAGTCGAGGTGAGGAGGTGGGGGTGATAGAGAGGAGGTGGAGTTGGAAAGGAGGTCTGACTATAATCAAATTAATTGTATAAAATTATTGAATCAATAAAATTTCTCTTAAACTCAAAAAAAGAAAAAAAAAAAGCTTTTGGGTTAGAGGGCCACCTAGACTAATATTCTGCCTGATTATTTCCCTGACACTGACTGACTTTTTTTGTGTGTAAGTCTGCATGATAACCTTCATTTTAGATCTTTTTTCAGGCCCCTCTCATTTGGTTAAATTTTCTGTCTTTGAGACATAAAATTTCTTCCTTGTTTCTGTGTCACTGGATCTTTGAGATTTAGACTGTTCATAATTGCTGATTTCTTATAATTTTTCATATCTCATCTTGTCTGTGGTCCCACTGTTGGCTTATGTCTAAGATGTGACTTTTTCGCTATCTGACTAAGTGCATATTTAGGTGTATGTTACTTGAGAAATTCCCAAAAAATTGACCTGGAAGTTATCAAACATACGTGTAAACAGTCCAAATTCCTTTTAAGACTTAAACGAATCAAAGAAATCAGTTACTTAAAATTTACAAAAATTTTGAACATATCTCCAAGACTGATAACACATTGGCCTATTTTATTATTGTTGGTGCTAGGCATTGAAAATAATGCCTATTTTTTTTTATGTTTCAAGTACAGCTTCCTGGATTTTTGTTAAAATATAATTATTGATCTGCTGGAGATAATATTTAAGAAAACTGGCTTAAAGGCACTTATGTTAAATCAAGATAGTTACTTGTATTTTATGCTAAAGAATCTTAAGATTTTTCACTACTTAGGAAACCGACTCTTACTAAAATTAGGATGTAAGTGTTATAGCAGCAAAATGTTAAATCACTACTCATTCCTCCTGCCTGGTGAAACTGACCATCTGAGTGTTCAGCTACCATACTTACGAGTCGAAGCCAGTAAGAAAAGAGGGGCTAAGAGTTCAGCCAATATTTTGGCCCCTCCTTACATCATTCAGACCTCAGAGGATGGTTGGACAACTCTCCAAGGTCCTGCAGCTCTGTGGTCACCTATTCTCTTGATCAGAGAGGCCACAGAGACTCCACAGGTGGAACTCTACCACTTTGCATTCTCTGATGTCTAGTAATAATAACAATAACAATAATAAAGGCCAATGTGTTATCAGACTTGGAGACATGTTTGAAAATTTCTATAAATTTAAACAACTGATTTCTTAGCTCTGTTTAAGTTTTTATGTATGAGGAGGAACTTAGATGGTCTACATGCATGTTTGCTAACTTCTAGGCCAATTTGAATTAAACCCTTTTGGGGGGAATTTATCATGTAACATATATCTAAAAGTGGCACAAAGAAACAAATTCAAATAACAAAAATGCTGCATCTTAGAGTTGTCGCTAATGAAAATTTTTCCAAAGGAAGCAACATGGTCAGCAAGACCTTGGCCTATCCCAGCAGATGACAACTCATAGAGGAAAATTAAGAAGCTGATCTTCCTTTTAATGGTGCAATTCATCCTGACCATAGAAGTAAATTTCCCAAATAGAGGCAATCCCTACCCTACCACCTGAAATTATCTATAGGCCTATACTGGTTACTGCCCAGTCTGGTATTCTTTTTTATTTCTATTTTATGTGTATGAGTGTATTACCTGCATGTGTGTAAGTGCACCCATGTTGTGCAATTCCCTGGGGAGGTCAGAAGAGGGTGTCAGATTCCCCTGGAACTGGAGTCATGATTGGTGGTTAGCCACCCTGTCGGTGCTAGGAATCGAACCCAAGTCCTCTGCAAGAGCAGTCAGTGCTCTTAACCTCTTGAGTCATCTCTCCAGCCCCCAGCCTAGTATTCTTTTGAAGTGTACTCAGTAAACTATTCCCCCTCCTCCTGGCAAAAAAAGTCAGTAAAGGACCAAGAAGGTAGTTACAGTTCCCCTAGAACAGTTGTTCTTCCAAAGATTTAGAGGACAGCAGTTAGAACAAAGTTAATATCTCATAGAATATGTTAATTTTTCTAACACTAGGCAAATATGTAACTGAAGACCATTGATCTTTATTTGGTTAATTTAATTAATATTAATATGGTTAATGTCAAATATTAGGTTGAATACAGGATGCATAGTTCTTATTATATAAATTGAACTAGTTGTCAAATTAATGACAGGAAATTTCCTTCACCCCAAATCTGAATTTGTTCTTTGTTAGAAAATGAGCTGTCTCAGCATACTGGTTCTCATGTTCCCATAGGTCCACAGCCGACTGACCACAAAGACCTACATCATGGTCACTAACAGTCTATAGCTACCAGAATTCCCTAGTACCACCCCAAGCAAAGCTAACCAGCTTGACTCATGATCTTTGCTTGACTCCTCCAAGCAAGCATTTAAGTTTATGATCCCTGTTTGATATTGGCAGCCACACTGGCTAATCCTTGTCAAAGACAGCAACAAAAGACAAACAAGTAAGTCAAGTCTACCTTGGGCCCTTAATTTTCTGGTTTGATTGCCGTTGCAATTCTTTCCTATTGGATTGAGCCCAGGGGCCTAGATGGTCTGATTCCTTTCCTTTAGAAGGATTACCAAAGCCTCATTTGAGAGAGGCAGTTTGCCCTTATTCCAGAATCTTGCAGATAGTTTCCTATAGAACAAAGTAATAGGGAGGGTGCTTTCTGTGCAGAAAATATCAGTAACTGCCCCCAGAACAGAGGCAAATGTTCTGTTTGTGTCTCCTACTGTCATTTATGATCTTGTATGGGTATGTATTCTTGCCTGACAATAAGCTCCCCAGGGAAAACAGTGCTATAGAATCAAACAATAGGGCTATCTGGAGGCCTTCAGTAGTTATCTTGGAATGAATCTAGTTTATTGCCTGAGTAAATTTTAAATTGTATTCTTAACCCCTTTCTTCTGATGGATAGAGAAATGTTTTCTCATTTACTGACATGAAACAATAGCCTTCTGCATACAAAATTAATTTACATTTATGTGTAGAATTAATTTTATTTTATTTCAATATAATTTAAGGCAGAAAAATTGGGTCTATGCAGACATTCAAGAAAATAAGGTAAAGATTAATTAGGAAAATATGTCCTTTAAAATATTTGTGGTAAAATTAAAAACTATACATTCTTAAATAGCTCCATTGTGGGAGGATATTAAAGAAACAGTTTTGAGAGTTTATTAGATTAAATATCTGGCATTCCTCTATTTAAAACATGCCTCTGTTTTTTTATGGGCGTTTCTGTTGTTTTTTAGTCTGATAAAGACATTGTGACTTCTCAACATGTCGAATATTTGTAATCAACATGGCCCAACTTAGTCTTGGATGATACCTTGTCCCTCTTACCGATAGGCGTTCCTACTCCATAACCTTTGGAGTCGATGAGGCCCCCAATCTGAGTGAGGTTGCAGTTCCTCTGTGTCACATACTCAATGCTGGTGGACTCCATCAGTAGAGCGTAGTCGGTGGTCAACACTCTTTGGATCCCCTCATCACTATTTTTGACCAGGGCACTCTGCTGTCTGCTGCTCATAAAAGCCCACATCTTCTCATAGGTGGATATCTTTGATTTCTGCAGAGACAAAAAAAAAAAAGCACACCCACCAGCAGAAGAGTGCTGAAAAAAACCATGGCCTACAGCTATTTACCATCCTAGTGGTTCAAGTAATAGAGGAGAAAATCTCAGTGGGTGGGGAGCAGATTGATGACACTGGGACTTGTCTGGATCTACAGTTGACTACAGGAGGGAATATAAAGGCACTGAGGCAGCCATAAAGGAAAAGGAGACCTCGATGGATGGAAGGCAGAGCTCAGGGTCCTTTTCTTGCTTTTAGTTAGGGAAGAAAAAGCATTAGCATCACTTATAACACTCGTCTAATGATCTGTGGCTACTTGAGACCAACACATCGCAGCCCACTGGCCAAGCTGAGGCTGTCCCATTTGCTCCAATTCCCTTCAACCACTGGACTTCAGCAGATGCTGTTTTATTGTTTGGGGGTACGGAAGTTCCAATACCTGACCAGCCTTACTTTGCTGGGGACAGCCTGGGATACGTCATTTGTATTCTCTGCTTTAATCGCTAAAGAACTACCATCCATAGCTGAATTTTGTACAAAATTTAGAATGTAAATGTCCTTTTCTAGGTAATATTCAAATCAGAAAACTCTTCCTACTTTTTATGTATACAATTTTCATTGCTGTCTAATTTTAGCTAACAAGGGCTGCATATTTCATTTCAAAATGCTCTGTGGTTTTTGTTTCCTTTATTCACCTTCTTGACAGATTAAATAATATGCTATATATATGTATATATATATATATATATGATAGATTACGTATGCATCTATCCACAGACACCATTACATCATTATCTTCTTTTCTTTGTTAAAACACACTGCCTGCATTTTTATATTGCTTAGACATGAATTTCCATTCTTCTGAATAGTGATCTATGATTAGGCATTTTATATTTTACTCTGTAATTTCCATAATATTCTAAGTTTTTCCTTCCTGAATTTGTCTTCATTTGCATCAGTCCTTCCTTCTATTTATTTCAAAGACCAATGTCATCATGGGAAACACTGATGTTTTCAAAACGAACCAGTTCCCACACGTGCACAAAGTGCTCACACACATGAACAGACTCCTTGGCAAGGCCAGGGCATATCATCTTAGGGGTGCAGAGAAGCTTAAAATGACTAGAGGCTGTAAACACTGAGGGAAATACCTGTGGAATCAACCCTCATGTGCTTATTCGTGCTCCAGTGTTCTGGGAACTCACTTGACTAAGTCTGTTTAAGACCTGGGTTAACAGAATAGGCCTCATGAGTTAGGGGAGGACAGATGGCTTTATTTTGGATCGTTAGGCATTTGAAGAGCCCCATGAGAAAGATCTTATAAGACAGATAGCAATTCAATACAGATATCTTATACATATTGATGTTTTATAGGACACATTCCACCATGATGAGGCTCCTGAGACTGACTCCTCAGCCCCAGAGACATCTGCAAACTGGAGCTCATGAATCTACAGCAAAGGCTGTGGGGGTCAGGGCTGAGGCTTCATTTGTTGTGTGGCTTCAGCCTTGAAGAGTCTGATACCGCCAAACTTTTAGTAAAGGGTCACATTTATGAAAGCAGGGTGGTCGCTCTATCTTTTTGCAGTAGATGTGCATCTGGGGAAATTATTCCTTCATCAGGAAACCAGCTTAAGGGAAAATAGTTTACTTTGAAGTATGAAAATTTAAAGTTGACAGAGAGTTTAGAGCTGGACTTATTGAAACTATCACTTTTATAGATGAGGAAATTTTGGTAAAGAAATTTTAGAGACCTCAACACTCACAAAGTTAATATTGGAGTTAACCCTAGACCCGGGAACCCCCATAATATTTAGTTCAATGTTCTTTCCACTGTTTGATACTGACTTGGGGGAAGTAGATATCTATATTGTCAAAAGAATTTTGACAATGACTTTAACCTTATGTGGTCTACAATTATATGTGAAAACATAACTTTTATTTATGGACTGACATCCTCCTGAGGCATTTTACTAGTTGGTCTTATGTTACTACAACATAAGAATCAACCTCCATGTAAAAATTACACAGAACATCTATTTTTTCATTATTTTAAATTTTATTAAGATTAGCATCATTGTGGGCTGGAGAGATGGCTCAGCAGTTAAGAACACTTGTTGTTCTTGCAGAAGACCCGGGTTTGAATCCCAGCACCCACATGGCAGCTAACAACTGTCCGTAACTCCAGTCCCAGGAGATCTGACAGCTAACAACAGTCCATAACTCCAGTCCCAGGGGATCTGACAGCCTTTTCTGACCTCCATGGGCATTGCACGACATGGGTACACTTAATTTATATACAGGCCTAACACTCATACACATAAAATAAAAATAATAAAATATTTTGGCTGGGTGTGGTGGCACATGCTTTTAATCCCAACACTTGGGAGGTAGAGGCAGGTAGATCTCTGTGAGTTCTAAGGCCATCCTGGTCTCCATGGTGACTCCAGGACAGCTGGGGCCACAGGGAGACCCTTTCTCAAAAAGACCCAAATTTTTTTTTTTTTAAAAATTAGCATCATTGTTAGAAGGGTGGAATTTTGGTTTGTGGAAGTCAGGGACAAAAATAAACAAATGGCCATTTCATTCATAATAAGTGGACAAATGAAGAGCCCATCAAGGTATCCAGGGAAATGAAGGGCTGAACTGGGTCCTAATGCAAACCCCACACAGCTGTCACCATGTCCTTATCAGGAGGCATTCTCACATTTTCTGAAGTAAGTTTCATAGTTTTTAATCTATGACAATAACACCCATGGTCTGACTGCAGGTGTTTATTATTCAGCCCCTTCCACTCATAACTCTCTACATGGGTACAGGACAGTATTCAAAGATGCCTATACTCATAGACTAGCAAGACCATGTTGGTGTCAATATTCCATAACTGAAAAATTGCTCAACTCTTACTCAGTCCCTCTCATCTCTCTTATTTCATCACAGCTCAGTAACAAACTCTATCCTGAGTCAGTGTGCTTTTAACTCTAGATTGCTTTATGGAGCAGAGCTCATGGATTCAAGTCCTTCTTAGCGTAGAAAGTTGCTCTGGCTTAGGCCCCAGGAAAATTGAGTTGACATGAACGGCTTCGAAATGTGAAGGGTAGATATTTCTCTTTTAACAAAACTCTTACTTGGTAGAGGATGTGGAAAGATTTAAGGCAGAGGAGTCATTAGAAGCCTTTTTACCCTTTGCTAAACTTCTGCTCCAGACTAATGATGACAAAATTGGAGATGGACAATCAGCATTTTCCTTCCTTGAAAAGTTCTCTTCTGTCATTGTGAAGTGTGCCTCTTGGCTACTCCATGAAATTCCACATTTAGAATTATGGGCTTCTGGAGATGCGAGAGAACTTTTTTGGAAAGAACCAAGTGTGACCCCAAAATAACTTTTAAATAGCTAGAAATATCTGTAAATAACTCAGGACCCTGGTATATTGTGAGTTTTCCATCACTGGAAATCTACCAAGTGAAGGCCATGCTGGGAAGTTTCTCTTAAAGGTCCTCCAAACCCGTCTCTGCTCTCTAGATCACTCCCTCTGCATAAGGAATGCAGGTCCTGAGAACAGCCAGTGACAGAAAGAGGTCACAGCTGGTGGATGGAAGAGTCAGCAGGGAACTGAGGGATCTTTCCTGCCTCTTCCAGAGTTCTAAGCCACTGTCATGCTGTGTTCAGTGATGCTCAGTTTTTGTTAGGTCAAAAGTAGCATTTTCAAAAGTAGCAGTAAATTAGATGTACCCTTTTAAACAGATTGTTTTATTCATTTTCAAGATGAAAATTTTAATGCTTCTTCAAAATAGGATTATGCATCACAGAAAATTATCGTAAACATTAAAAGACCAAGCCTACTGTTTGAATGACAGCCTGGGTGTTTTTCCTTTTCCAAATCTTCTATAGTTGCAGTCATTCTCCTAAATCACTCTAAATAATACACAGTATATTTAAAAAATGCAACCAGTGATTGCCTCTCATTTCACTGAATCTGTAAAAATTTAATTAGAATGCTTGTAATGTCTCCTAAGCTTCTTAGTTAAAGTTGTTAAAACTGAAAAAGCATCATTTGATAAAAGTCAAATCTTTTAGAATTCCTTTTTAATCCCTAGAGGCTACTGGTTTAGATGAATTAGTTTTTGTCTGTTTTATCCTGACACTGATTAAACATGGCCGGTAAATAATACACATTCCATCAGAAATCTGTCAGAAGAGAAAGTGTTACTTTAGCAAAATGGACAATGATTATTTATTTCTGGCTTTTTCCATTATCCTGTGTGAGGGCTAAATACTCACTGGGAAGTGACTTACATTCTGTCCGTGAGCGGTTAAAACCTGCTTGTTCAGACTAGAATGAGCTAGCACAGACAATGTTTACTGTGTGTACCAAGCACTATTCTGAGCACTTTTGCATGTTTTCTTTCATTTAATCTTCACAACAGTTGCATGAAATAGCTACTGCTATTATTTCTGCTTTATAGTTGAGAAATAGAATACTGTGTTGAAAAATGAGGAAGCTAGGATTTCATCCTAATATTCTTTTCTAGAGTTGAGGTTCTTCATCAAAGGGGATTAATTATGTTTTACTATACAACACATCAGACTCATAGCCTGCTGATGTTTCACCAGAATTCACATATTTTCTAAAGAAATCACTGAAGCAAGTAGTTGTGAGCATCTCTCTGTTGTAGAAGAGTGATTGTAAGTCTCGTGCCCAACAAATCACATATAGACAGCGCTTGATCACCTCCAACAGCCTATATTTGTTTAGACAAATATTTAGATAATGTTTCAAGATGTACAACAGTGGAATAAGAAATGTGGAAAATATTTGAGTTCTTTCCTTTCTCTGTGCAAGTTCTGGAGTATTCTGTTAATACAAACACTACTTTGTAGAACTATCTCTCTGCAGTTTCATTTTTATTGAGATAAACATTGCTCATCACATTATTTCCCCAACCAGATTACAGAGCGCCTACAGTGAAGATATATGATCCCGTTATTCAGTAG